GGGGGGGGAAGCTTACCTGCTGCTGCTGCTTCCTCCTCCTCCTGCTCTGTGTGGAGCTCTTCTTCCCCCCCCCCTCCTGCGAGTATCACGGGTCCCCTTTCTTGTTAGGTTCTAATTCCATAGTTAACAATAAAGTAATTAGTATTCTTCTGCCATGTTTCATAGTGTTATCTCTCCCCAAAGCCAAACTTTAAATTGTGGTACAGAAAATTATGTAAACATTCATTGGAAAGAATTTCAGAAATGCCTCAGTCCATGAGCAAAGATTGTTGAACAAGATGTTAAATGAATTTCAGCAGAGCAAAGACAAAATAGATTTATTTATCTACTTGTGTTATTTATAGTCCACCTTTCTCATTTGGACTCAAGGTGGATTACAAAGAGTGAGTCAATACAACTGGCAGAATGGGACATTCAATAAACAATGAGATAGTATTTTGGTTGTAGAATTAAACAGAATTGAAACAGACTTATGTGTTAACATGACACATAAAATTATGCAAGATTACATAGTAGGATCCAATGTACAACACACTATACACAGTAATGTAGACTGCAGTCCCCAATAATTTGTAGATCATTTTGTACAGTGCTATCCATGTAGAAAAGCCCTCTTGAATAATTCAGTTTTGCATTGTTTGTGGAAAGCCAGGAAAGTGGGAACCTTCCTGACTTCCTGAGGCAGGCCGTTCATTAAGGTAGGGGGCCACAATGGAGAAGCCATGTGTATGAGGATATGTTGATTTTGCCCATTTGTTAATTGGCATCTGTACAAGGCTCTGTTCAGATGATCAAAGCTGTTGTAGAGGAGCATAGGGGGAAAGTCGATCTCTCAGATATGAGGATCCAAGGCTTTGTATGTGATGTAATCTACAATTAGATGGAATGTTTTTGTATCTTCCTGTCAGGAGCACAGATGGTAGCATGTTAAATCTAGCCAGTGTAAATGGATGGCGGTAATCTTGGAACAGTTAATATTTATAGATAACGTACACATTGGATCACTGGAGCTTAACTGAGTAGCACAGAAAAACACAAACTGTGGACTTTAGCAGATGTTTCTTGAAAACAGTATCCTTTATGTGGACATTGATAGCTTAAACTAGCTTTACTTAGCCCCATGGATTTTTTTAAAAAGAGGGAAAGGACGGAAAGTGGTCAATAAGGCAAGCTGGAGTATAAGGGCAAGCCATAGTTCTGACAAGAGCTGTCCTTGAAAGGGCAGTTCTTGAAAGAGCTCTCTCAGCCCCACCTACCTGTTGTGGTCTTTTGTGGGAAGGGGAAGGGAAAGGAGTTTGTAAGCCACTCTGAGACTCCGAGTAAAGGGCAGGGTATAAATCCAATCTCTTCTAATCTCTCCCTTATATATAATTGAGTAAGACGCAGAGTCACACAGCGGAGAGAAAATGCGCACCAACAGTGTTACGACGCTTGAACTGTCCGTCAGAAGCTTCCCCAGCTTCCATTGGCCATGTCCCCTAAGTCCCACCTCAGAACACACACACCCCCACTAGCCAGGGCTGGATGGAATGGTGGCGGCAGCTCATCACCGCTCCCCGAGGCTGGATCCCTCCCCTTTATTGCACGCCTGTTTTCCTCCCCCGCCCGCCCACCCACCCCCGGCTTCAAAGACCCCTCGGAGCCCTACACGCTTCCGGGGAC